GAGAGCAGGAGTACAAAAACTGCGAGCTGGACAAAAACCAGGTACTGAGTGTCACACAACCGATCGCATGATGAAGTCACAGATTATAATGCGTTTTCTGCATGCACATTCGCAGCGTCAGTGTGTCCAGTATGCACTGAAGGCCCGACCTCTGAGATGCTACATCCCTAAAAACCCGCATCAGTACCAGGTGTGGTACATCGTCACCTCTTGTTACTTCGAGTACCTGATGTTTCTCCTCATCATGCTCAACACCATGTGTCTGGGGATGCAGGTGAGAACACAGAGGTACAATCCCAGAAGAAACACATTTGAATATTAGTTTGAATCTCACCGAGTCTCATTTCTTTATCCTTCAGCACTGTAATCAATCAGATCACATCACCCATCTTTCAGACATGCTAAACGTCATCTTCACTGTACTGTTTACCGTGGAAATGATCCTCAAACTTGGAGCCTTCAAAGCAAAGGTGAGCCCTCCATTTAGACCGGAAAACTGCTAATATGTGACCCTGGAGCACTTCATTTTTTTTAAATTGAGATGTATGTGAAAGCCGAATAATTAAGCTTTCCATTGATGTATGGTTTGTTAGGATAGCACAATATTTGGTCGAGATACAACTATTTGAAAATCTGGAATCTGAGGGTGCAACAAAATCTAAATATTGAGAAAATCGACATTAAAGTTGTCCAAATGAAGTTCTTAGCAATGCATATTACTAATCAAACATTAAGTTGATATATTTATGGTAGGAAATTTACAAAATATCTTGGTCTTTACTTAATATCCTATAATAATGTATAATTTGGACCCATACAATGTATTGTTGGCTGTTGCTACAAATATCCCCCAGCGACTTAACACTGCTTTTGTGCTGCAGGGACACTACTTCTTAAATGCTTAAGTGCATGCAGCATACTGCTTTTAATAAGTGTTTCTCTCTGGTAGGGTTACTTCGGGGACCCCTGGAATGTCTTTTCGGGGACCCCTGGAACGTCTTTGATTTCATAATCGTGGTGGGCAGTATTGTTGACGTCATACTAAGTGAAATTGATGTAAGTTTCTCAATGTGTTCACTCTGTGCTCCAGTGCTTGGCTTTACCTGTTGTATCATTCAGTGCTGATATTCTGGTAATTTCTTTATCTCCAGGCGGCTCTTGCTGCTCAGGGTGGACTGTATTGTCTCACTGGCTGTTCTGTAAATATTTACAAACATTTTTTATTATTTCACATCTACACGTCACAGCATGACTCTACAAT